CAATTAAATCAAAGCCTCAATATAGTAGCTAACTTTTTGAAAATAACTTTTTTACACAATCTACTTTGCAAAGTAAAAAAATGTTTTGTGTTATTAACAACCACCTTCTTTGAAAATTTCTCTATGTAAGTATCAGAACATATTTATTTATTTCTCTTTATTTCCTATTTTGGGGAATGCCTTAGAAAAGTAGAAATTACATATAAGCATTGTCAACTATTGTATTTCTAAAGTCAAGATGATTATCTCCTAAGTGTTTAATTTCTGCAATGACTAATTTTTAAAACTCAAAATTGCTACCCATGTAATTTAAAAACTGCACCGTGAAATGCCTGTTTATGGTGGAAACAACATAAAGGCTAAAATCAATGTATAGAACAGGAAAAGTATAAAATGGCACGGCTCCATAAATACAAAAATAGCTGCATTCTGTCTGACTCCAAATGCAGGCTTTCACTACCTGTAAATCTTACTGAAGTCTCAAAGCACAGCCAGATGATTAGAACAGAAAGGCCTGAAGCAGATGTGCTGGAACTAGGGCAGACTTCGGCCCATGATGCTCAGCAGCTCACGATGCTGACACACAACACTCACGTGTTAGCAATGAAGCGTCACAAATGGAAAGGCAGCCTCAACAGTGCACACTGCTGTACCCCAAGTTCAATTACATCTATCAGAACAAAGTGTTAACATGTCACTTAGGATAACTCAACATCTTTGGTTTTCAAAGAAATATAATACTTTAAAAAATAGAAATACATCAATCTACTTTAACAAGTCATACTCATGCTAGAAGTTTTACTTAACAGCTGAAGGTCAAGATCCCAATTGTGCAGAACTAGCTTCAGAAAACTTGGAGTGTAACATGCTTAGTTCAGCTTAGATATCATCAATGTCTTCATCATCATCTCCAATATCATCAAACTGGATTTCGTCATCATCCCCGGGACCAAATGTGTCCGTCTCATTGATTTTCGCATGCTCTGGAAGTTCTCCATACGCCTTCAGACTTCTCGCTTCATCTGCATTGTACTTCAAGATGACATCAGCTTTGTTGTCTTGATAGTCTCGTAGACCGATCAATATAATGTCTGAGGTATTTATCCAAACCTTTTTTCTCAGCTTGCCTCTGATGTGGCACAGCCTCCGTACGCCGTCGAAACACATGGCTTCCAACCGTCCGTTCCCCAGCATTTTGATCACCTGTGCATACTCTTGCCCGTCTTCTTTAAACACCAACTCTCTTTTTTCAGATTCATTTTCATTTTTACCTCTGCGCCGGTTTTTGCCTCCTTTGCCTTTATTCTTCGGCATGGTGGTAAGGACAAGCACAGGAGTTGGGGTGGGGGAGTCCTTGCTGGTGCGGGCTGTGACTCCTCTCCACGGGCTGCTCCTAGGATGGGCAGCAGGAAGTGTCTTAACAGTGGTAGATCTGAAGCAACTGTGTAGCTGCTGGAGCTTCCTGGTAAACTGTAAGCATAGAAGATCCACAGGCAGCAAACAGTGTTCCAGAGTCCTGGGTTCTGCTAGGGTGACAAATCACAGCGGAACCCGTCCACCGCCGCAGCCCGGCGAGCAGCAAGACGACGCGCCCCTCCTAGGCAACGGCCGGCCACGCCCCTTCCTGCCTTGTTTGCACTTTTGATTCCAGAAAGATTAGAATCCATCATGACAGCAAGTGGCTAGCATGGTAGCAGGAACAGGAAGTAGGAGGTCATATTTTCAAATGACAGTGAGCAGGAAATGATGTAAAACTATAAACTCTCAAAGCCTGCCCCCAATGATATACTTTCTTCAATAAGGCACTTCCCCACAACCTCTCCAAAGAACAAAATCAACCAAGGACTAAGTGTTCAAATATCTGATCTTATATGGAACCGTTTTTCATTGAAACACCTTAAATCATCATTGTATCCATAAAATGTATAGTGAACATAGGTTTTCTGTTTGGTTAGTCATTTAGGAATGAAAATTTTATATTTACTTCAGCTGAAGTCGAGATACAATCATACTGGTTAATGCTCCCACTTCCTGTCTGCTGTCTCTCTGCCTGCTACTTGCTTTCTTCCTGGTTTCATCTGATGTTGCTTAATTCTCTGTTATGAAACTTCTAGCCAGTGTACATATGAAAATCTCTATTCATTGCTAGCCATGACTCCAAATATGTGAGCCTAATAGCCCAACTCTAAAGATGTTATCAATCATTTCATCATCTGCGACATTGTCAGAATCTCTGTGGGATAAATTGGTTTTTAATTACCCAGAGTATTGACATGGTATGCCAGGAATTACATCAGGCTGGGGACCAAGCAGTGGAAGATGGAGCATTAGTGCTTACTCTTCGCCAATCACAGAGACATGGGCCTTTTATACTTCATAAGTGCATAAAATGATAGAATTAGCATCAAAAGCAAATGGTCCCAAGTTATGGCATTGTTCTGAAAAATGTGAAGCATCCTGTAAATGATAAGTCAGCTGCTTTGCTATTGTGGACTTAAAATAACCATGAGCCTAAAGAATATTTTTAAAGCACAAAACAGGTGTCACAATATCAGCCCAATGAAAATCAGATCTATTTTTTTTATTTAGTCCTAACTGAAAAAGAAGCTCAATTTTCCATGTACTCATGGCACCTGAGAAGACAAAAGAGTTAAAACTTGTGAAGGAAAACAGAGCTAGCGTCCAACAAAGTGGCATATCCTATTGTCAAGCAACAAGTGGGAGAAATGCTTGCAAAAAAGATGCTCAAAAATAATCAAAGACAGGAGCTTGTGAGTTTAGAAGAGTCAGAGGTTGAGGTTGTTTCCTGTTGTATAAAAAAAAGTCCAATTTAAACCCAAGTGCCTAGAAGGCACCAGTGTTTAACTGGGCTAGAACAGTGAATGTTTGTGATGACTACGTTCATCACAGGAAATTAAGTTATATTTGCTGTGATTTGCCCAAGACAATAGAGATATGCTTAATGTATTGTAGATGGATACTCATTCAAAATGATTAAAACTTTAATGATGATTGGGGATTTGAGGAGTCGGTGTGGAAATTAAGCTCTTGGATGTCCGATGCTCTTCTCATTGTTCCACTGATTTACAATATGGAATGTCAAATTTAACAGTCATCTGCCCAACTCCCTGAGATGTGTGTATGTAGAGTTGAGTGTGAGATCACCATAGTTTCCCATTCTTCAAGTCCTGCCATCTTGAATGGGGAATCATGGGTAACCCTGCCTTTAAACTCTCGAACTCTCCATCACACGGCCAAGCTACTTAGCAACAATCACCAAATCCTGGTAATTGAGCCTGAAGCAGGCTAGCTATGCTTTAAGCCTTCATGGTTGACATGCCTCATGAGCCTTCATGTTGGTGGCCTGTGCCTCATTTGTATGCTGATTAAATATTCATGAGTGCCCCTTATCTGTGAGGGTCTGTGTTACTCACGGGGGTATAAAAATGAACTGAATGGTGGATCACATGAAAAGAAAAATGTGGTTTTATTTTTCTATGAGTTTGTCATGAAATATTTCCTTAAACTTCCTCCTTTCCTGAGGATGAGGAGGCATAGTCATCCTAGGGGCTAGAGAAGAAATCAAAGATCCCAATTTTAGAAAATACAAGTTCAGGAAGATATTTGCCTGGGATATGGACTAGAAGCTGAGGATCACCTTGAAATCTGTGTCCCAGGTTAGAAGGGCCACAGAAGGTAAATGAGAAGAGATTGCATAGGAGATCTGTGAAGCTTGAGAAATGTGGTGTTTGAAAGTCTGTGGCCACTAAGTCAAGGGGAAGAGGTGCTATAAGCAGAAAGGTCCTTACCAGCCTCCTGTGGGAACACCTAGATTTCATTAGTAAAAATCTCAGTAACAAATTCATAGGAACAAAAGTGCAGGCCATCTCCAAACACCCTGCAACTGTGAAACCATACAGCAATAAGGCAAGAGAGTGAGACTCCAAGTGAGGATTTTGACAGGATTTAATTTTCATCTGAAGCATAAGGTCCTAGTTCATGCTCCTAGATGGCCAAGCATGGCCATATCCACTACAAGGCCCTGTCTCTCAGGGCTTTGCAGTAAAGATGGTACATGTGTACGTCAAGCCCAGAAGGGAGAAGACGGACTGAAGATAGCATGAAATTCCCAATGCTCCAAAATGCTCAAAACCGATTTTTAACAATAGAAATGCTGAAGGAAAACACTTTCAATACATCTGTAGAAGGATGGCTTCCATTATGTGTATTTGTTTAAAAACTTGTATACTGGAAGTTGTATAGAATGGGTGGTGGCAGTTCCTTGAAATAGCATTTGTTACCAGCCCTCGTTTGACAGAATGGTACCTTCAAGCAGTGAGAGGAATACACAGATCCCACTGTTTCCTGAAGGTTTTTGCCAAATAAACTGGACTAAGCTTCCCGGGGCCACTGCTTATGGCTCTCTTTTGTCACTTGCCCAGTGCACTCCTGACAGCATTGTGAGAACACCAGTATAAGTAGGTCCCATGATTTTGCCTTCAGTATCTTTTGATAAGAAATACATTAAAAGATTTCATGGGGAGATTTCTGTCTGTGGCTCTCTAGCTGGGATGGCTTCATCACTGAAACCTGTCAGTGATGAAGGCACCTGTTCCACATTTACTTGATGTTTTCCATCTAGAAGCATCAGATCAAAACTACCCCAAATCTTTCACCCTCACAGGTAGTGGATATAAAGGGATGTATCAGAAGGTGCAGGTAACACCCATTACAAGAAGACTTGCAATTAAAATCAGCCAGAGGCCCTTTCTTTGTTACAAGCAGAGTTCTGTTAGTTCAACGTTAACGATCCAGATTCCAGCAACATTCCGGAGTGCCAAAACTCATCTTGTACTTTGTGAGGAAGACTTGTTATCGGAAGATCTGTAGCCCTGTACATTCTACCTCTAGTTCTTATTTTTAGATCATAATATGTGTTATCTGCTCTCCATTCTCAGTACCCACAAAGTTTAAAGATGACTGGGATCATACTCTCCAAATTGTGATAGTTCAGATTTCCTCTAGCATACCAGGCTTGCTCTTTTAATGATGTATAACCATTTTACTTTTCTTCCTCAACTCTGTGTAAGGGAATCAAGGTTCAATCAACCTGGATTAGTAGAGTAGAATCCTGGCCTATTTCACATTTCATTCTCTTTTCAAATTATTAACCAGGATCTTTTAAGTAATATCTCAGAAAAGTTTTAGCAATACAAATTGATAGTAAGAAGATAATGCCTGTGCACAGTCTGTCTGAGTAATGCTTTCTTCTCTGTTTATATTATAGCTACTCAAAGTATATAACCAAATCTTACTTTGAGTTTAAATTCACATTTCCTGGGGGCTGTGGTGAACATCTCTATGTATTTATTAGTCATCTATATGTCATTTTTAATAAAACATCTTTCCATGTATTTTGATCATTTACTAATTATGTTTTCAAATGTTTTACTATCAAGTTTGGGATTTCTTTGTATATTTTAAATATTAGACCTTTTCTGTATGTGCAACTGAGCATTGTATTTGAACAAATAAAAGAAATATAAAGGAAAGAAAAGGACATGACTGCTCCTAGGTATGGTGGAGGAGAAAGTTCATTATAGCTATGTGAGAGTGCATAGTCAGAGACAAGGATATCAGGATGAGTCTAAAGTGGACATGGCAGGACTGAGCGGGGTCATGTGGGATGGGGGAGGGGGAAGGAGAAGGGAGAGCAGGGAACCAGATACAGCAGCCAAGAGGCCAAAGGTCCAAAAGGAAAGGGGCGGTTAATCAAAATGTCTGGATTATATAGAGAAGATCCTCTGGGGGAAGGGCAGTCCAGCTCCTGGGCTGGACAGTTCAGGGTAGAAGGCAGGGTATGAGAGTCATACCCTGTGACAGATAAGGACTGAAGGATGCTGGGAGAACCTGGCAGCCAGGTCTGTTTTGATATGTTAAATAGGCACCTCAGCTGTTTGTCTGGGCTTGAAAATTCACAGTATTCTCTTTAAAAAAGTTTGTCCTTTTGTCCTCTTCAACTGTCCTTTCATGGAGAAAATTTTACTTGTTTGTATGTTTGTTTGTTTGTTTGTTTGGCTTTTTTGAGACAGGGTTTCTCTGTATAACAGCTCTGGCTATACTGAAACTCACTTTGTATGCCAAGGTGGCCTGGAACTCACAGGGATTCACCTGTCTCTGCCTCTAGAGTTCTAGGATTAGTGTGTGTCACCACCTCCCAGGTGAGAAATGTTTTACAGATTTGTTTTATTATTTATCTATGCATTTTTATGGGTCTGTGCACATGCATGTGGTATACACAGAAACCAGAAAAGGATGTCAGATCCCTTGGAGCTAGAGTTACAGGCAGTTGGCAGCTGCCCAGGATGGATGCTGGGAACTGAACTTGGATGCTCTGGAAGAGAAACCCTTGCTTCACCTCTGTGACATCTCTGCCTGTCTCCCAACAAACATTTTTTTACATTTTTTATAATTTAATTTAATTTTATTTTACAATATAATTTAGTTCTACATATCAGCCATGGATTCCCTTGTTCTCCCCACTCCCGCCCCCCTCCCCTTCCCCCCAAACAAACCCCCATTCCCACCTCATCCAGGGGAAAGCCTCCCCCGAGGATTGAG